ATATGGCCTTCCTGCCACATCTCTGTCTTCTCCTTTTTCCCTAAGGGCACGTGTCATGGAGTTTCAGGCCCACCATAAATCCAGGATGCGCTCACCTTGAGGTCCTTAACAAGATCACACCTGAAAAGACCCTTTCCCCAAGGGTTCCATTCATAGGTACCAGTGTTGGGACTTAGATATCTATTTTAAGGCAACACTATTCAACCCACTACGGTGACCTTGGACTCTTACCATCGGCTTCCCGTTAGTAAAAGGGGCTCGTGATACCTGCTCTAAAAGGATTGCTCTAAATATTTGAGGAAACAGAGGGATTCAAAAGCCTGACTCATGGGGCAGGAGAGCATAAGGAATGACTGAAGATGGGCACGTCGTTTTTTGGGGGGTGATGGAGACATTCTAGGAACAGGGGTGAGGTTTGCACAATTCACCGAACGTGCTAAAAGCCATTGAGTTGCATGCTTTCAAAGAGTGAGCTTAATGGTATGTGAATCATTTGTCGATAACACTGGGTTTTTTTTATTTAAATGGTTTTTTAAATTTTATTTCTGAGAGACAGAGGGACAGCATGAACAGGGAAGGGTCAGAGAGAGAGGGAGACACAGAATCTGAAACCGGCTCCAGGCTCTGAGATTGCTGTCAGCACAGAGCCCGACGCAGGGCTCGAACCCACGAACCGCAAGATCATGACCTAAGCGATAGTCGGTCGCTTAACCGACTAAGCCACCCAGGCGCCCCAACACTGTTATTTTTAAAAGGAGCCTGGCTCCAGGTGGGGAGGTGTTCTCTTCATGAATCGTAGCTGCTATTATTATTACTGATGTGCCGGTCACCACTATTATTAAAATATTTTATAATAGTTTAACATTTTACATCCTCTGTCATGCCTCCCAAACCCAGATATGAATTAAATTTGAAACAGGACCCAGGGGTGAGATACCTTTGTGTGGCCCTAGCGGAGCTGGCGCGGGCTTTGCATGCTCCAGGGGACACTGCATATCTGTTTTGACTGTACCTGAGTAGTTCCCATGAAAACTACTTGTTGAAAATAAGCCCACCAGGGCTTGCGTGTTCACTGATACCGCAGCGATCGCTGTATCCAGCGCACAGGGATATTACTTTTATCCATGGGCTCCCCCAGGAAGGGACTGAAATGAAATTTCATGCCGACCGCACTTCTCACTTATGACTGGCAGCCTGATATTGAGACCAGAAGTCTTTTTTTCACGAAAATTCAATTAGCAGTTGAACATGGAATTAGGTCTGGATAATTCATATATTCTAATCATTGCCTTATTACAGGTGGTCAAAATCCACATGCCATTCTCCGACTTACCCGAGAATGTAAGAAAAATCATAATCAGAACAACAGCATTAAGCTCTGTTATTGCCCGATGCACCATTGCTTGGGAGATTAAAAACTGAATTTTGAGAAAAACAAAAACTTATCCCGAGGAAATATAGGCCTCCTGAGTTTTCGCTTTGAGAACTAACAAAGTCAATTTAAAATTTTAATAGATTTCTATTCATTTCCGTTGAAGGAAAAAACAACATGATTTTAAATTTTAAAGTAAGGCTGCCTATATTCAAACAGCCACTCTGTTTCTCTGGCTCTTTTTTTCCTTCTGATGCTTCTCATGAGAGGCCCCACCTCCCTCTCAAAACAGCACTAGGGGAAAGCAAGAGGGTGTGAGGGTTGAAAGGTGCGGGTCTTGGGCACACAGGTCCCCGCTATGCTTCCAGCATGTCCTTGACAGTGGGGATCATGGCCAGAGCAACAGCCGTGCACAGACCCACTGGGTGATAAATGCAAAGAGCACAGCCCAGACAGAGCGCCATCAGGTGGCCCATGTCACCCCCAACCAGGCCTTTCTCTTCTGCTTTCCTCTGTTCATATACTCAATTCACTGCCCAAGAACTTGGCCTCGCTCCCCACCATGATGGCCGATCCAGTATCCTCCCAATCTTTCCCGGGAGAAGCTACCCAGGGACTTCATTTTCCTGCCCCACTCTGGCAAGGGGAAAAAAGCCCCAATTTCAAAATCTGCTGGATTTAAATTCCATACTCCGAGATACTTCCAACTCCAAGTTTACAACTAATCTGTGACATTCAGCTTAAATTACACTCGCTTATCTAGCTCGGGGCCAGCAAGGGCTGTGAGAACATCAAAATTTTACATCTCAGTAACCCTGAATCCTTGAATTTTGAGTCCATGGTTGTTTCCAGCAATCTCTAGGGCTAAATGATTAATTATACCCAAGACAGTCCAAAGCAATTATTTAATTAAGCTGCATTACAGGCTGCGAGTTGTTTGGAGCAAAGGGAAAGCCTTCACCCTAGTTTCTCAACATCTGGCCCTTGGATGACTTAAAAGATAAAAGGAGATATGAGAACATTTTTATGACTAAGTAACAATTTCTAAAAATTTTCCATAAAGTAGAAAAACTTTTTCAGTAATTTGTTTCTCATGATTAGAACGTGGTGACATGTTTTACTGTGAGGGTTCAGCTTATTTAAACCTAACGCAAAATAGAAAATGTTGGCGTACAAAATGAAATGTTGGGATCATCTTTGTTTTAGGGCAAGAAAGTTGTTTTTTGGTTTTGTTTTTGTTTTTAGCAAATCTGTGTTTTCCCTTCAGGTGTGTTTGTCTTCCCTTGGCCTAGTTTTTTAAGTACTCTTTCTTAATTTATGCTCTTTAAAATCAACTTTAACAAACAAAAATCCCCCACTACCCATTCAAAACTTAGAAACCTAAGTTTTGTTTCATAAAGAACTTTTTAAGAAGCGAGATATTGGCCACCCCAACAGAGTTGATGACCAAAGTCATATCTGTATCATCTCCTGGAGACAGAGGAATACATTGGTTGGGACACAAGCATCCAGGCATGATCTTTCTCCTTCCCACTGCCTGTAACTTCATTCAGTAGGACTGGTGGAGTAAGCCAGTTGAACAATAACAAATCGAATAGATTGTATTTATTCACCAGTTGTGTTCAAAATAAATATGTGACTCATTCAGACCTCTTCCTTCCATACTATTTGAGTACTGAAATACTGTCATTCTGTTAAAATCTAAGAGTGGCTAAATATTCACCTATAAATGGGGCATCAGTATGCATAAGATGGCACTTGTTTTACCAGCGCATGTGCTAAAATTTTTAAATGATAAGCATAGCATGAGTGAAGAGCTGAATAACGAATGACATAAGAACATTTCCCAAGGTTCCTCTTTTGGAAAATGGCTCAGGTTTTCTGAAGAAAATTAATGGAGCAATGGGTTTCTTCAGCTCTTTCTTAAGGATTAAGGCATACTCAGATCCTTGAGTTGATGTGATGTGAACTATGTGTTAGAACTAAATCAGAACTCTAAACCAGAACCCACGGACCTCTTCTGTAGTCCTGAATCTGCTGAAATTATCTGCAAAATATTGCGGGCATGTGTATATGTGAATTTTTCTGAGAAGGGTGTAAAAGGGTTCATATTTCAAAAAAGGTGAAGGCTCGCTATGGTAGACATGTCTGTTACAGTGCGATAAATCTCACATGAACATGTAAACATTTCTGTAGTGGAGAGGTTGTGGTTACCTCGTTAAATAATGGAAGTCTCTAGAAGCTTTCATTATTATGTGGGAAGTCTTAAAGCTGCCAGTTTACTATTACTCAAATTGCCATCTCTCCAAAGAAATCCTTCAACATCAAGAAGAGCCTTTTAAATTACTTTATTGTCCCACCCTGGAAAAGAGAGAAACAAAAACCATCAACCTAACACTTGAAGGAAGCTGCCCGTCTTAGGCTAGCATTGATTATATCCCGGGAAGTGGAACATTACTTCTGACCTGTTCCAGAAGGGCAGACGTGTAGTGTGGTCCATGGCCTGAGGCCACCTTCTCTCTCCACAAGGTAGAATGTTTAACAAAGTTGTCTGTTTTGTAAAAGAACTTACACCTTTATTCCCAAATCTGAAAGTTACTTCCAAGTTTTCTTTGTATTGAAGTATTGAAGTTACTTCAGTAACTAAGGAGTTACTGTCATTCCCAGAAGTATATTTATCATATTAATGCTTCATTTTATGTCAGGGAGTCACGAATGGCCAGTATGTGGGCAGATGTGATATCAAAACACAGGACCTTCCTGAAAGTGTCAGTCTTCGGAATAACACATTAATATAAGCCTAATCTGTGGACCTGACCTTGTTAATAATAAAAAACCATTTAAGCACTGATTTATGGCCTTCACAGGACCAAAAGTTTTCATTAGATGACATAGCGCCCAGAGAAATAGATATGATTATCCCATTTTCCAGGTAAGGACTGACAGACCCCCAAGGCCTGCTTGTCAACTTCAGGCCAGGGCTGTTTCCCAGTGGTCCTCGCTCCTATAAAGAGAGATTCACCTTCAGCCAAGTCAGACCGGGGCGCAGACCTCAGCCTTCCAGAAGCAGCTCCAATGCCTTGTGCCCTTACATTGCTTCCTTGATTGACACATCTCCCATCAATAATTGGAAGTGTATGCTCTACCTTGTATCAGAATCCTTTCAAAGATTTAGGAAACGTAGATCAGACTGAAAAATTCACATGCAGGAATTCTCCTTTAAAGAAAAAGATTTCCCTTCTGAATCACACCTGCTAATTCAGATAGAGTTCTTTTCCAAGCAGAGAAAACATCTTTTCTCTCAACTCTTTTTGCCAGTTAAAAAAAAAAAAAAAAAACTGTAAATTGAAATTAAAAAAAAAAACATAGAGGCTAAATGCCATCTATTCTTCACCATAAAATATTTGAAACAAAAAATTTCCCAGACTTGTTTTCAAAACATTTGCAAGAAGAATCCATGCAAACATATGGCACAGAAATGGCCTTCCATGTTAAAACCTGAGGATAGAAATCAATTGGCCTTCCTCCTGCCATTCCTTCCCTTGTTAAGAACAGAACCTGGGCCATAAACAAGAAGCTACTTTTAAAAATTATATATATATTATTTTTCTGATTTCTTTTTCAACAGGGGACTTATTACATTTGAAAATAACACGTATATCTTGGAACCCATGAAAAACGAGACCAACGAGTACAAGCTCTTCCCAGTGGAGAACCTGCGAGGCACCGGGGGGTCCTGCGGATCCCATCACGGCATGTCTACACCGGCTGCGGAGAGCAGGCTCCCGCCACCCTCCCAGACATGGGCGAGAAGGGTAGGGCGGTCAAGGCCATGTTCCTGGGGGCGTGGGGGCTCTGGCTCGGGACACCCAGCGCTAGGGCTTGTGGGGGAATTTTGCTGCCTGGGTGTCGTGTCTGGGGGACGGAGCCACCCACGTTATCTGGAGGGGTTGACACCAAGTGTGCAGAGCATACCCGAGTGCTGGAGCCTCCATCACTTTTTGCAAATGTCAGTCTCAGTCCCATTAACCTGTGATGAAGTCGGGCTCAGAGGCGGACACCTTTCACTACGTGTCAGAACCTAGGGGTCTTGGACCCACGGTCGCAGCCCCACCCTTGCGCCCACCTGGATAAACAAGGCGTGGAAAGGCCCTCACCTGTCCCTGGGTAGCAGCTCCCCTTCTACAGGAGAAGACGAGATGGAGGCTTCTTCATTCATCAGTCTGGTTATAGTTAGGGTCTTTGTTATGATTTGCATAACATTCCCCCGTCTTTGCCTGCGCACCTGCTGGCCCCCACGCAGTGGTGCTGAGGAGCCTGGTCCATGCTAATGATGCCTGTGCTTCCTTCGCACGACTGTCCGAGCCTCTGTGTCTTCTGGCCACCAGCTCCTGGGCCGTGCTCATCAAAGTCTCTCCTGCTGCAGAAGTGTCAAAAGTCGTGACTTGATGAGGTCTGGGCCACGGATCTCCCGCCTCGCTAAGTGGACAGAAACACAGAGGCTCTGACATCCCGTGGTGCAATACCATGAAACCTCCACCCCAAGTGGCGGCCTGACCCTTTTACATCCAGGATTATGTGGGTGCTGTAGGCCACAGCGGACACTTGGGTGGTTTTTTTAAAACACACACAGATTTTTTCATTTTTTACTAGAGTGTAACTTTTTTAATGTTTACTTTTTGAGAGAGAGAAACAGCATGTGAGCAGGGAAGGGGCAGGGAGAAAGGGAGACAGAATCTGAAGCAGACTCCAGGCTCTGAGCTAGCTGTCAGCACAGAGCCGGACACGGGACTCAAACCCACAAATCGCGAGATCGTGATCTGAGCCAAAGTTGGACATTTCACCGACTGAGCCATCCAGGCGCCCCTCACTCTTTATAAAGGAGTCAGAGTAGCCACATTTGGCTGGGGGCCCTGCCTGTCAAGGAATACAACCAGATAGGAAGTTGTCAACAACTTCCTGAGTTTTCATCTCTGGCTTTCCTATTCCTCTTTTGACAAGAAATGAGGCATTCATTGATATGATGTCAAATGTGCTGATATTTGATGGGCTAGGGACATGTTCTTCAGGCTTCCACTGAAAAGGCTGCACATTTTGTCTTTCCTGACTTTGAATGTTACACTGCTTAACAGTCAACATTCCATAAATATCATTCCCCTTCATTCATTCCTAATCATTTGTCTGAGTTCCAACGGTAAACATTATCCTAAATGATTTCTTCTCCTTCATCAAATATGCCTCACAGCCTTGATTAATGAGTGTTCCCCTAACCCTCATTTTGATGTCATTCATTCTCTCTGTCCTGGTGTGCTGCTCGCTTGACCCTAACATCCTCTGTTTCTTCATATGCTTACAAGATTCTAGGGGTGCCTGGGTGGCTCAGCTGGTTAAGCGTCCAACTTCGGCTCAGGTCATGATCTCATGGTTCGTGGATTCAAGCCCCACATTGGGCTCTGAGCTAACAGTGTGGACCTTGGAACCTGCTTTGGATTCTGTGTTTCCCTCTCTCTCTCTCTCTCAAAAATAAACATTAAAAAAATTTTTTAAATATGTTTACAAAGTTTCCATGGCAGGTGCTTGCCCCCTCTTTTTCCTTCTCTTGCGCATCACGCAGAAGAGTAAGGACCCTTTTGTGGCACCGTCACCCACCTTGACACTGGTACTCAGTGGTGGAGACAGAACTGCCCCCCAGGGAGCAGAGCTTGATAACATCCCCCTCCCCCCACACCCACCTACAGCAGCTCCAGGGACTTTTCATCCTGCTTTTCACCCCCCACCCATCATCGAGCGACTGATTTAAGAGATGGAGTCACAGGGGCGCCTGGGTGGCTTAGTCGGTTAAGCGTCCGACTTTCGCTTAGGTTATGATCTCGCAGTTCATGGGTTCGAGCCCCGCGTCGGGCTCTGTGCTGACTGCCAGCTCAGAGCCTGGAGCCTGTTTCAGTCTGTGACTCCCTCTCTCTCTGACCCTCCCCTGCTCACGCTCTCTCTCTCCTAGAAATAAATATATATATATATATAAAAGATGGAGTCACAAAGGCCAACCTCTCTGCTTCCAGGACATGTTTCTTTCACTCTTGCGACCCTCTTTCCTTCCATCCCAGACCTCGGAGAGGAGGTGATGAAGCCGTAGCTTTTCCCATCACAAACAACTAGAACATTTGCATTTTGTTTTCAAGGCTCTTTGCTTTGAGTACCTTGTCGGAGACACCGGCACCCACATTGCGAGATTTATAACTTGTCAGTTTCAATGACGCTCAAGTACGTTTGCATTTCGTGCAGAAGTACAGGCTCGGTCTCCACCACTCACCAGCCACATTTTCACTCTTTAACTAAGCTCACAGCCCTCTTGAACTCTGATTGGCACCGTAATTTCCAGTCCTTCTGACTTGTGGAGGAAGGCGGAAAAGCAGAATACCAATGCTGTTTTGTTAACAATGCATATTGGGGTGTAAATGAACCTTTAAATTGAAAAGGGAAGGCGGCAGCCCCTTCTCCACATTCCTCTCTAGAAATCGCTGCAATTGTTTTTATGGAAGAGAAAATGTCTGTGACTTAAAGCACATCTACATAATGAAAATGAGACAAAACGTAATTTTGGAATAAGGGAAATTCTTGGGAACTGGAATTGCAGGCGAGATGGTGTGCAATGGCATCTCGGGTAAATACGAAAGAGGTACATTCGAGTTACGTGACGCTCACCTGCCTCACTTACAACTGCCTTATTTCATACTCGAAAAAAAAAAATCAATGTCACTGCAGCTTCCTCCTCTTCTTTATGCAATACAGCGACCGCACTCGGTTTCACCCAGCATTTCCTGCCCCGGCTAAGTGGTGACTATTGCAAAGATTGGTTTGCAGGCTGAGATTTTTCTGCAGATATTTGCGTTTTCCTTCATGGAGCAGCAGGTATAAACCAGCGCTCGGGGTAGCACTGGCTATAATATAAGCTTGAGGTATTGTTTGTCATTTTTACAAGGCTCTACATTCGATTTTAGTGAGGACCCAACTCGCTCCTGGAAGGGCGCCTGCAGTCACGTGGCTTCACAGTCAGATCTCACCTCTGCAACCCGCAGAGCCCCTGCCTCTCGGCCACCCTCCTTCCCCCGTCCATCAACCAGCCATTCAAGGATGCAAACTCATTTTAACGCTGGCCCGAGCAAGCTACAGGCGAAGGCTTGGGAAATCTGCTCCAGGAGGAAAATCACATAATACATTCCAGAGGCAAATGTAAATTGTGTTTGAATTATCCTCTCTTTGGGGATTATCTGTGCTATGGTTCCTCTCCATTAGTGTGGGTAATTATGAGTCAGATGTAAAAGGCGATACTTCCTCTAGGAAACGGTGTTTGCTCAGGCTGCTGAGCTGATTAGGGAGACCCTGTTGTGTGTTTCCTCAAACATAGCCTTTCTGAGGCACCCGAGTGGCTTGGTGGGTTAAACATCTGGCTTTGGCTTAGGTCATGATCTCCCGGTTTGTGGGTTCAAGCCCCACGTCAGGCTCTGAGCTAACAGCCTGGAGCCTGCTTCGGATTCTGTGTGTCTCTCTCTGTCTTTCTGCCCCTCCCCTGCTCACTTGCTTTCTTTCTCTCTCAAACATTAAAAAAAAACGTAGCCGTTCTGAAATAGACCAAGGCTACTGCTTTTGATTTCTAGACAGCTTCCTCTGTTTAGTAGCGGACACAGTCGTGTTGGCGATATAAGCAGCAATAATAATGTATGTCCTCCACAGATGCTAAGAATAGTGGAGTATCAGGAACTGGCCAGAACCACATGAACTCATGAATCACCACAGACATACTTAATTCCTCTCTAACAGCCCCATCTGCACGTCTGTGCCTCCTCTAAGAGACCGTGTCAACTTCTGTCGCTGCCTTGGTCATTCGTTCGTAGATCTCGTTGGCAGGTAACAGAGGCAGTCCTACGGTTGCTTCTTTGGGCCCGAGCCCTGAGCACCCATCGGTGTGAGCCAAGCCCCCAAAATCTCCACTTGTGGATTCCTATTAGGACCCAAATCGGTTAAGACCCTGGATAAATACATAACAGATCTCACTGGCACCACCGGCTTTTTGGACTCAACTACATTTGTTCTGTTGACATTCAGTTCATCAGACTGGGCTTGTTCTTCCGGCTTCTCGCCTCTTTGGCCGGTCATCTCTGCAGCCTGCATACTCGCCAGGCCCCCGAGGCTGTCGCCCCATGCAGGTGTGCTCAGTGTGCTTCCCCCCCGACCATGCAAGTCACTGTCAGGACGTAGGAGAAAACCTGGCACAGCGAGGACCAGGGCTCAGCTTCTAAATATTCACAAGGGGACCTTGGAGTCCAGGCCAGAGCCTCAGTTGAGCCAACAACGACCCTTCTGTACTCAGAGGAGATAAACCAAACTTTGGTTCTATGTGAGTGGCCCACCTTCCCACCCATGGAAACCCTGGCCCTGGCTCTGCTGCCACAGTCCTCTTGGTGGTTGTATCCGCGTCCACTGGCATCCGTTCGCTGATCTCCATGGTCACTGTCCCCGCAGCTGCCAGCCGTCACCTGCGCTCCCGGCTTCCACCATCATCTTCCAATAATCCATTCTCCCGGCAGCCGGGACATGGACTCACATGCAGGGACTCCCCGTCGCTCTTAGGTCCCCTTCAGCCTCCTCGTGTGGCCCCCGCTCCATCCACGTCTCATCCACAACCCTCCCTCCGCTCTAGACCGTGTAGCCACCCTGCTTGTTGCTCCAATGCCCCCTAGTCTCCCGGCCTTGGGACTTCTGCTGTTGCCGCTCTGTCTCTCTGAACACGGTCCCTCCACGCAAACCTACTTCCCTTCCTTAGGTTGCAGCCATCGTAGTCGCACATCTTTAACCTCATCGCAACAGCACCTTCTACACACTCGGCCTTATTTTTGTTAATTTCTTATCGTCACCCCATCCCCCAACCCCTAGCGGGACGTGAGCCTCGTGAGCACTTTACCTTGGATTGCTTGTCCATCCCTACCTCCCCAGCACCTGACATCGTGCCGAAAACATAGGGCTACAGAAAATACTTGCGGGGCGAGTGATAATATACAAATAGTCTGGCCCGTATGTGGCAGGAGGTTCGATGGGAACTTATTGAAACCCTAATCTCAACTTGTTTTTCTGACTTGGGTTGGGTTAAGTCCCCAGGGCCAAAGTTCTTGCTGAAGCATGTTGGAAGGTATTCTGTCTCTGGGAACTTGGCTGTGACGACTTCAAGAGGCCCAGGAGCTCATTCCTTCTTGAGCAAGACTCAGAGAACGCCTCAGTCTCCACCTCAGAACCGAGACCGTTGGGCCACACTCTGGGGCTTATTACGTTCCTGTCTGTTTGGGGAAGGACTTTTGTTTATAACCCCAAAAATGAAAATTCAGTCAAGCAACCAGTTTCAAATGTTGCTCTGCACATCAAAAAATTTTAAATACGATTTTTTTTAAAACCAGATTTCGATAGGTCGAAATCATGTGGAGGTAATTTAAGCCTCTCCGTGTGTGCCACCGACGGAGGGATGAATGTTCGCGGCCATGAGCCGGCCACTCCCCCGTGGCTTTTTATTATTATGTGGTTAGGCTTCTCTCTGAGCTTGCAATTCTCTGAATTCATGAGAAAATCTGGACTCCTCTGAAAACTGCAGAGACAGGAAAATTGTGTTCATGTGTTTGTTTTCATTATCTGGAATTGTGTATTTTCTAAATGATGATCCAAGGCCACTTGGGGAAAATGATGATCCGAGGCCACTTGGGTCATTTATTTCACCCCTTAGTGGTCTGAAAGGTATAAGCGTCTAAACAACCAAGGAAAAACCCTTCCCACGGGTTTTTCAAAAGCAGATTAATTCATTTTTTCTGTGATAGAGCTGTATTTTCTTCTGCGTGATTCACTGAATCTGTTCATGATTAATCGCGGGAGTTGTGGGTGAAACGGAGATTTCTGCTTCTTTCACACCTCAATGAGGGAAAAGGGCGAGATCTCTACCACTTCCAAAGGTGTCTCATTTTAGGTACAACAGTGGGTACCCCTGGGGCTAATCTTTTCTCCCGTCTGAGTCCACAGCTATCACCATAAAGCCCGCCTGTAACACATAGTTACAAAGCTTGACTTCTTTTCTCATAACATTGTAAAAATATGAGAAATGATACCTTTCCTGGTGCTTTATTCCCCACCCCCATAAGGTTTCCAGATTTCTTGAGGGATACCTAAATTCATGAATCAGCACAGCTGGGCGGCGGGCAGGAACACTGCAATGATACAAACATTTTTTCTTGTAAAAATCCTGTTTGGAAGATCCCAGACTGATGGGGATTTGTTTTATAAAAGATGTTTCCCTCCAGATTATGTGACTGGAAAGCTGATTCAAAGCATGCCTTGGTCATTTTTGCTTTTGTCTGAAAGCATGGTCAGAGCATGAGAGCTTTAAACACGAAAGAGGCCTCGTTAACGTGTAAACCAGCCCATCAGCCGTGGGGACCAAGCCTGCCTCAACCCCCGTTTCCTCCAACTGGCTTTTACTGCAGAAAAAGAAGGCTTTGTTTTTTTGTTTTTCGTGTGTGCTTTTTAGACCACCCTCCATGAATTGCTCTTTTTCTCCTAAAAATGCCTTTCGGGGGGGGGGTTCTCCCAGTAATTCATGGAAGAGTGCAAATGTTTTTTGTGGAAACTTGATTAAAATGTAACCCCGTTCAGAGGCTGCCATGATTGGAGAGGGAGCTCATACTTCTGCTTTCCGCCTCTTCTCCATACCTCCCCCTTGATGCACAGTTTCTATATTCCTCTCCACTCTTTCAGCTCCCCAAACCCCCTTCTCCAGGGCATGGAGTTCAGGCTTTTCTTTCTTCCTTTCTTGACACTGTTTCTTGCTATTCTGTCTCCTTTATTCCTTTCTGGTTTTACTCTTAGCACCTCCTTCTTGCCTGACTCTGTTCCAGCCTGGCCGTTCCCCATTCTCTGGACCACTCGTCGTTTGCTTCTAACTAGATTTTCACACAATTAGCCACAAGAAATATGCTGCCTGAAACGGACTGTGCAGTGTTTCCCCCAGAAGGACCATGAAATCCCTGCCCAAAATATGTTCTCTTTCACTTTTCTCAAATCTCAAAAAATAGGCCCTAAAGAGGGAGGCAACACATGTGAGACACAGGATCGCATCGTCTTCTGTAGCAATCTTCAAATGTGCTGCGCGCGGCTCAGAATGAATGGCCATCGGCTGGCTCCTGTTCCAGAGAACGCTTTGATTTGATTCATTTACTTGCATGTTTCATGTAATAATGTTCTTGACTCGTTCTCATCCTGCCATCAATGATTCAGCAGACAGGCTGGATTCCTCTTGATGGGTTTCCCAGATGCAAATGGAAGCCAGTCCCCAAGGTGGAGAAGGTTTTCCAGAGGTTGTTGGGGCTGGAGGTGAACTTCCAGAGGGGACAGGGGTAGAGCCGGTGGCCATGGTGAGGATAGCCTCACCTCCGTTAAAGCGCGTGGGTCCAGAGATACGGGCAGTGTTCTGGAAGCCGCCGAGAGGTATGAAGGGAAATAAAGTCTGTGTTTACCTTTGGCAGCATAAAAGAGAGACCCTCAAGATGACCAAGTACGTAGAGCTGGTGATTGTCGCCGACAACAGAGAGGTAAGAGCTTTTTAAAACTTCCCGGTTCCATTGGTTAAAAACAAAAATAGAGAGAAGAAAGTGTTGAGCAAGTTTTTCCTTGCTGTGATGAACCTCATTTTCTCTGAGCCCCTAAAAGCATTGGAAACAACCTATTAAGTGGTTTCCTGGTATTATAATGTATAAAATATTAAAAATGTATCTGATATTACAAAATTATAGCAAGGGCTGCAGTAAAGGCAATACCACCCTGCCTTTATTATAGCAAATGGAATTATCTGGGGGAAATGGCAGATGGCTTGAGAATGTATTCTAAACCATTTGGGGGGGAAAGTTGGGTTTAAAAATGTCCGACACATCCCAAACCAAAATGAATTAATGAATGCAGGCTACAGGGACACCACAGAAAAGTGACATGGTCTTTGATGCTACGTTAGTTTTCTACCTTTAATTGGTTTCCAATGAGCTGTTTTGAGATGATATTTGCTGCGTTCCTTCCTTGCCTCGGCTGTGTGGTGTGAATGAGGTGACTTTTTCTCGTGAACTCACTCGACATCTATGAATGAGACAGGCTTGATAGTTTCTCAGGAAACTGTTCCCATTCAGGAAGGTCAGATTCGATGGGGAGAAGGGGAACTCATCAACTTTTCTCCATTCTCCACTGCATTGTTTGATTCGTTGCCATGAGCTTCTATCACTTTTACTGTTTAATTTTTAAAAACAAATATAAAGGAAATTTCTGAGGAAGTTAAAATCAAGTTGATGATATGAAAAATGGCTTTGGACTGCCTTCTCTCTGTCTATTCTCCCTGCCAAAACATGTCACAGTCTCCATCATTTATGAGGCTGGAAAAATCGTAGAAGTTGCTGTCTTATGAGTGCTTGGCTTCGGCAAATTTCAGGGAGTTTCAGAAAGTCCCCAGACAGGGAAATTTACTCATCAGGATGGGAACTCATTTCACCATAAACCAGGGAAGGTCCCAGGTGGGGGGGGGGGGGGGGGGGGGGGGCGGTGTGTGAAGCCCAAGACTTCACATTTCCAGGAGCTGGGAAGATGAGATTTGATGGATATTCTTGCCATTATTAATGCTGACATTTAAAATTATTAAGTTTCAGAGGCAAGGAAAAGATCTGGAAAAAGTTAAGCAGCGATTAATAGAGATCGCTAATCACGTTGACAAGGTAAGTTCTTTTTTGGGTAATTAAATCACTCAAATCGCGTAAATGTTTAGAAACGAGGTAGAGGGAATGAGGCACACCTTGTCCAACTTGGCAGTGAGACTGGGTCCGCCTCTGGTCCTGGGCTGGAACATGGACTTCCCCTTCCTCTGAGCACAGAATTCCCAGGGCTGGAGGAGCTACAGGCGATGCGAGCTTTCTGGACTGTGGTGGCTTCAGGCTACGCCTCCCTCCAGGCTCTCTTCTGGCCAAAGTCCCAGTGTGCGGGGTCCCAGCCCAAAAACCAGTAGGATGCATCTGACCCTGTAGGGAACTCCCAAGTGGGCATTCTCCAGGTCTTTTCCAGTTGTTTCCCAGCTCCCAGGCCCCCCCCCCCACCAAGGGCAGACTGTCATTTATAAGGGACACACAGGCTGTACGGTCCTGAGACACGGAAATAGGCTTTCAGTTCAATCAGCTATTGGAAAATCCACCCCAGGCCCCCAATTCAAAGAGGTTGGGAGCTCACCCTTGGGAAAGGTGGTTCAGACCTGGAGGAAACCCCAGAAGTCTGGTCTAATCTGAGGACGTGTGCTCAGCAAACACTCCTTACACTAGCTGTTCGCAAGGAAAGGGCGAAGCTCTGAGCACCTGCCCTTCTCCAGGACACCCTTCAGAACAGAGCTATCAAGCTGTCCGGTGCTGACGGCTCTCGGTCTAAAACAGGGCTTCTCACACTTGCCGGCACGTTGGAGTTGCCTGCAAGCTTTCAGAGGCATTGCTGCCTGGCCATCTTGGCAACTGGGGGAGGGAGTGCAGGGGAGGGGGGTGGTAATTACTTACACCAATAATTAAAGAACGACATGCCTCAGAAGAGACCTGAGGGACCACATGGAGTTTGCCAGCCTGGCTGAGAGAGCTCAATTGCCAAGCACACATAGGCGGACCACACCCAACAGACCCCGAAGCCCCAGCCTCTGAGCCTGCTCATCAATGAGCCAGTGCTCCAAAGTTCAGTTCTGCATCTTTGCAAGGGAGAGTGTCTCCGCCCCAAAACAATGACTGTTGCATTGTCAACTTCCTCCTTTGCGGAAACCCTGGCCCCCCATTCCACATTAACAGCTGTTTGGCTGGCCGTGTTGGCCTGAAGGGGAGAGGGAGAAGGACAGCCCAGGCTGAAAGACCTGGCAGGGATTTAGTACAAAGGTGACATTCTGCAACTTCCAGGGCACTCCCCCTGTAGGTAAAACACAGAGAGCCTGTCTGACGCTCAGAGGTGGGAGCTAAGGCTGTGCACAGGGGCAGAGAGATGTTCCCCAGTCCTGATCCCTCGGCAGGGCAGAACAGTGAGCTGTGCGATTGCCCATGCTTTACCTCTTTAACCCCTCACCTCCAGTCTATCCCACGCCTTATTAAGAAGTTAGCACCAGCTGCAGCTTCATCAGCGCTGACCCCCTGTGACCTACTTCTGAAAGGGCTGGTCTTCCCTGCATTTAATTTCTGCACGTACTTTCCCTCTCGTGGGAGCCTTCATTCCATCCCAAGCCAGTTGCCTGAAAGATGCAAATTCTCATGTCAGACCCCACAGGGTCTTCCCTTTAATTCTGCCCATTTTTTCTACTTCTTCCAGAAGAGCCCTCAAGAACAGCTCCCTTTAAACTCCCATTTCTATCCTGTCTTGGGAGTTTGCTCTATTGGAGTGAACTGTCATAATGGCCAACAGTCCCAAGCCTTGAGCTTCTGGCTGACCTCTGGGCAAGGGCAAGGGCATCCTCATCCTTGCCGAGGATAGCACTCAACCAGAGCCAAGCAAATGCTCAATTCACTGTGGGTGAATCGATGCCACCACTCTCGGACCGTGTCCACCCCCATTCTGGGCTGCATGGGCCAGGCAGACAGCTGCCAGGCCCCCATGAAGCTTCTCCCCAAGCCACAGGGTCACAGCGGGTCATCTTGGAAAGGAGTCAGAACATTCACACAGAAGTGGCCGTGTTCCATCGTGGTTTAAATCTGGGCGCCAGGCCCAGTCTGCTCGCGTCCACATCCCAGACACACCAGTCGTGTCTTGAGTGGCTTGCCTGATCCCTCCAGGTCTCAGTGTTCCCAAGTGTACAACGGGGATAATGCTAATTATTGGTTCCCTGAGCTGTCACGAAGACTAACAGAGGTGTGGCGTAGAAAGTCCTGAGCACTACGCCTCGGACGTAGTAAATGCTCATTGAGCGTTCGCTGTGGTTATCGATCTCAGCCATCACAGCCGGGGTAGAATGCCCCCAGCAGGCAGGATTGTGTATGGTGACTCAGGAGGAGGAGCACACGTGACACTTGCCTAGTGACACCGATTTGGAGAGGAAGGACCATGTGTGATACACTGAGGCATGAAGTCTGTTGTAAGGAGGTGACCCGAAAGAGCTAATAGAAATGATAACCCATCATGGTACGAAAAGCTCCTCGGTTGGCCAGCACCATTGTCAGCTCTGAGAAACAATGGCGGTTAGTCCCTTACAGACCTTAGTTACCCCTACCACACAACCCCCATCAGAGGCAAACACAGTGTCCCCTTTACAGGTGACAAACCTGAAGCCCACACAGGGCATTGGCTCTGAGATTGGTACTTGGCAAGCCGGTGTGGGCATCAGCACTGGACTTCCTACATTTCTGCTTCCTGATCGCTGTTACCTTTGTGCCTAACACAGTGGGAAGTGTGGTCCCTTTGTCAAAAGGCAGCGGCCAGACACATGCAGTCAGAATTCCAGAGGAGCCCGGGAGCTTTATTCTGCCTGGGAAGCCTGGGCTGGGAGTTTGCAAGTGGATACTGCAGACCAAGCAAGGCTTTTTAATTTTTTTTAATTGTTATTTAAGTTCTAATTAGTTACTTTACTATGAACTATTGGTTCATTGCAATATTGGTTTCAGGAGTAGAATTCAGTGGTGGATCATTTACATACAACACCCAGTGCTCATCCCAACAAGTGGCCTCCTTAATGCCCATCCCCCATCGAGCCCCTCCCGCACCCATCTCCCTCCATCATCCCTCAGTTTGTTCTCTAATCCCTAAGAGTCTCTTATGGTTTGTTCCCCTCTCTCTTTCTTTCTCCCCTCCCATATGTTCATCTGTTTTGTTTCTTAAATTCCACATATCACAGACAAAGCAATTCTTGATTAAAAACAAGCTGTCGGGCAGCATTTGGGTCTTAGAATTGTCTCATGAACTTGTTCATGTAATGCCCATCGCTGTCATCTGCTTAAAACCAAGGTGACATTCTGTGATGTAGCTTGAGTCCCAGTCATAGTCTTGTGCTCACCAGATGGCCATGGGAAGACGAGCAGGGGAAACGGCGAGCCTGCCTTGTGTGGGGTCAGCACCAGGGTCAGATGCTCCAACTTGGGGAGTGGACTGCCCTCCAGCTGGCCACATTGGAAAGGGGCTTAACCGTCAAATGCGGAGCCTCTGTGACTTGTGTTACTTGTTGGCCCAGATACTCATAGAGGAAAAATGGGACCTACTCACATCTGGAACTTGACTTTGGCTGCTATCACCAGCCACATGTTTCTGGTTGGTTACCTGGAGTATCAGAAAATGAGGGCTCTCCCATCACGTACCACCTCACCCTTCATGGGCGTTGGAAGGTCTTACAGCCAGCCAGGTGATCCCATGTCCTCACCCCCTGGGCCCTGAGCACAGAGCCACCTCCCTATCATAACACACATGGGGGGCAGCAAAGTAGTTGGGGGCAATGAAGAGTTCTTCCTTCTGCCCTGACCACTCATCTCGCCCAGGACAAAACTATCCCTTAGCCATTAGAAGAATTGCTCTTCCTACCTCTGACCCAGGACGACCTCCTTGTGGACAAAGGGCTCTAGGTTGACATCAGGATATGTGCAGACAGGAGACAGATCGACAATGACAATACTTGCTTTGGCGGGGTACCCGGAGCCTTCTTTCACAAGCCTGTGAAAGAGGAACTTCCTTCAGAAGGTCTTTCCCATGACACCGCTGGTGAGCTAAGTTCTAACCGTGAGGAGAATGGTCAGTGAAGTTCCGGAAGAAGAGTTCTGCTTATGCCTTTATTATTCTGAAAGATATTGATTTGTTCATTTAATTAAAACCTTCTAGGTTGACTATAAGTGACAGAATGTGATAGTGTCAGCCAAGTCTGAGTCTTTGCTGAAAAATTAATACAGATTCATTTTCAGCAACTCGTAGATAGAACATTTTGCTTAAAAGGAATGAATTATTATCCTTGGCAGAGTGTCTGAAAGATCCTAATTCACTCGTTGTTTTTCTTGCCGTAGTTATTAACTGGCCGTCTTCAGGTATAGTGTAACTATGTTAGTGATAGGACACATCTATATGCACATTTTAAATCACCAGTGGACCATGTGAAATGTGTGCTTCCTTACAAATAAGGGCCGACATCAAAAAGCCTATTAACTTTGGCATCTAACTGGCCAACCGCATTGGAAACTCACTTAACACATCACTTTGTATCAGACACTGCAAACATTTCTTAAATTCTAATGCCACAGGAACAAGGGCGCACAGAGAGATTTTTTTCACCCATGTCAGTGAGGTTCACAACATGCAAATATGTTCTCCTCTGCACTTGAAGTTCTCATGAATGTGATCCCCAGAGGATGCCTGTCTCGGTCAGTTTTACAGACCACTGAACATTCGGATAGTGCTGGTGGGCGTGGAGGTGTGGAATGACATTGACAAGTGCTCCATTAGTCAGGACCCGTTCACAAGCCTCCATGAATTTCTGGACTGGAGAAAGATGAAGCTTCTACCTCGAAAATCACACGACAACGCCCAGCTTATCAGGTAGGGTATTTAGGGTCTCTTCTTTGCTTAAAGAACGAGTGATCTTCTCCTGGAATCCCCCTCTCCTGATGGTCCCCAAAGCTGCATGCCTCTCTGCAGAGCACACTGGCTCGTCCGAGGGTGTCTCCGAGCCCAGGGCAGTGGGGCACACACCATCCTGACCGAACTGTGGGTCTGTTGGGAACGTCTCCCTCTGAACCCCCTAGGAAACCTATCCCTCGAAGAGATGTCTTATTTTCTTTTTCCCATTACCTGGATGTTTTCCTCTGTGCAGATTTTTCCAGTCTTTGTCTTGATATAAAATGGTCCTGAGTAGGCGATTAAAAAAGAAAAGCTCATTTTCTTTCATTATTACCGAAAAATGTTTATGCAAGATGTGAGGACGATGTATTAGGATGATTATTGCCAGATGCCTAGAGAAAGGAAATGTTCATTCCTTCTGCTGTTTTGCTATGACTCTGGTTTTCTAGATCAGAGGTCCCCAGCAGTCTGCATTCTTTCAATCACTGTGTTCTGAGCATCAGTCAGGAAGTAAGCGCCCTTTAGGCGCTTTTAACCTAACGGTGACCAGTACTGAAGGCTCCCTGCTCTCAGGAGTCCACAGTCCGCTGGGAGAAGGCGACAATCAACAAGGAAATTGCAGAGAGTGCTAAGTGACATGAAGATAATAACATGAGGGAAAACACAGCTATAATGTAACATAATATATTGGGAAGATATTCAGACACCTTTATATTTAAAGGGAAAAAATTCTAATCATAAACTGAATTAGTGAGGAGCAGATTTTTCCCAAAGTGACCAACTTATTATTAAGACGCTTAAACAGCTTATTCTGTTATCCTACGTTCTCATGTAGCTCATTTCACTAAATTGAAAGCTTCAGGGTCAGAGACACTTTTCTTAGGCAAATTGTATCTGGTTCCTTAGAAATTTATAGAAAGCTAAAAACCCTTCTTACCCCATCCTCACTTTAGAAAATGCCTACATACAAACTGAGGCTGTTGGCATTCCCTGATAATTTACTTTGGCCATTTTCACAGGGTTGTTTGTTTTTTTCCCGCCTTGGATATTTGTGGTTGCTTCATATTTTATGCATTGATTAATCCTGAACTACTAAAAGTACATTTTAGATATTTTGAGCCAGAGTATTTTGTTTTGATTCTTTTCCCCAAATGGAGTCTGTCCAACTTGAACATCTGGAAATAAATTGGCCTCTTATATAATAACCTTATTATTTATATACATATATAATTTTATCTATTAAAATGGTCTATATAGATATAAATATAAAATCTGTAACCCCAACTACCGTACATATGAGTATGATAGGATGGATGGATGGATGGATGGATGGATGGATGGATACATACATGAATACATACACAGATGAGGCTTTATGTATACTTACTTCCTTTTGTCCAGTTGAACACTGTCAAAATAACTAACTTTTCAAATAGTATGTATATACTCTACATGTGTACATGGCCAAGATAACATGAGTAAGTCATTTAAAGGAGATTTGAAAAAGATTCCCTTAAAGAAGTTTCAACAAATACAAACAATGTGGGTTTTTTAATTTTTTTAAGTGTTTATTATTTTTGAGAGAGTCAGAGTGTGAGCAGGAGAGAGGCAGAGAGAGAGGGAGACACAGAATCCTAAGCAGGCTCCAGGCTCTGAGCTCTCAGCACAGAGCCCAACACAGGGCTTGAACCCACAAACCACAAGATCATAACCTGAGCTGAAGTTGGACACTTAGCCCAGTGAGCCACCCAGGAGCCCCCAACAAATACAAGCAATGTTTAAATTTTAATGCATGAGGGTCAAATTATTAGCATTTACATCAAACAAGCCTTAATGTCATTGGACTCACTGATCAGGTTAAGAATTCCTAGGGGGGACAGCCTGTACCTGAGCCATGACGTCCCCTCCTGGAAACTTCCTCCCAGGGGTACTAAGTCTTTGTGGGTACTTATTCTACATCGACTCCAGAGGAGCAATCATTTCCCTGCTGATTTCACTCTTGCCAGCTACGTTAGCAACCCACTCTAAAGAGTCTGGGTTTCCTGCCTAGTTGTAACGTAACACAGGAAAGCCAACTTCAGCTACAACACAGTCTAGTGAACCACCACATGCATTTCATTTAGTTACCGGTGATTCTCTGGGACTGGCCTCAGTGCTCCAGCCACAGACATTATTTAAAAGGAGTAGCTCCTGGGGCACCTGGAGGGCTCAGTCAGTTAAACGTCTGACTCTTGGTTTCAACTCAGGTCATGATCTCACAGTTGGTGGGTTCGAGCTGTACGTTGGGCTCTGTGCTGACCGTGCAGAGGCTGCTTGGTATTTTCTCCTTCACTCCCTCCCTCTTTCTCTCTCTCTCTCACTCTTACTCTTTCTGTTCTCTCTCTCTCTCTCTCTTTCAAAAATAAATAAATAAACATAAAAGAAAAAAAAAAAAAAAACCAGGAGCCGCTCCCTCCAGTCTATGGGGAATAGGAAGGAGATGACTTGTAAGAACAAAGGTCATAGCTGGTCGCTGACCGAGTCTCACAAACAGAAATCTGGAAGGGTTACAAGACCATGATGCAAAGTAAGTTTTAAAGGAACCAAGGCTACAAATCACCTGCAAACACCCCCTCACGTGGCTCTTTTCATTGTGCACCTGATCCTGCTCTTATTGGGATGCAAGAATGTCCACCAGAATTGTTAGGAAGTGACTTCATTCTATATTAACTTAAGAAACTTTTGTTTGTTTCCTAGTGGGGTTTATTTCCAAGGGACCACCATAGGCATGGCACCCATCATGAGCATGTGCACAGCAGAGCAGTCCGGAGGGATCGTCATGGTAAGTCAAGGGCACCGAGGAACTGCTGGGGATGCCCCAGCGATTTCCCTGGATTTCTTGGGACAGCCCTGCTTTCATTAGTCCTGCTAAAATTAGGCCATTTTCTTCAGTGCTTTTTTTTTTTTTAATTTATTTCTAGGAGAGAGAGAGAGAGAGAGACAGCATGAGCAGGGGAGGGTCAGAGAGAGAGGGAGTCACAGACTCTGAAACAGGCTCCAGGCTCTGAGCTGGCAGTCAGCACAGAGCCCGACGCGGGGCTCGAACCCACGAACCGCGAGATTGTGACCTAAGCGAAAGTCGGACGCTTAACCGACTAAGCCACCCCAGGCGCCCCTTCAGTGCTTTTTAAATGTAATTCTACCTTTTCTCTAGCTCTGTCGATGGTCTTGCATATCCCATAATATTTTTAGGGACTATTTATTTAAAAACATCAAATCACAGGTGAGTGAGTAAAAATAACTCAGCAGAAGCCCATCTGCCCCTTTTATGGAGAAAACGTTTCAACTGGGCTCTTGGTCCAAGCTTTTCAACCCAGGATTCCTCGTGGCATTGGGATGAGCCCAGGCACGGGGTGGCCCTCCTCACTCAGTGTCTTAGACGGACTGTGGTCTCACCAAACGTTACGACCAGAATGGCTGTCCGATGGTTCCGCATCCAAGGCCCAACAGCCAAAAGTCTGAGGTTTTTAGCTATTTACCACTGCAAATGTTTGATCTACCTCGTAGCCAGTGTCCAATGTGTCTTTATAATAACATTAATCTTGGAAGGCAGATACCTAGGCTTATTGCTTTCTAAGGATATTTTTGTCGTATGGGCTCCATACGTTTATAAAAGGGAACAGACACGAAGAGTATTTGGAGCTTGTTTCTTGTGACTGTAAGAGGGAAAGAGCTTTGACACGCTACCCAGCAGGGGACTCCTGTTCCACTCCATCCATTAATTAGAGTAAAGCTTTCACCTCGTGCTGGTGCTGGCCCTGTTCTGAAACTACAGCGTCCCCTTTGCACCAGCCCTCAGGCAGGGCGTATTCCCAGAGGCCGCTCTGACATCTCCATGGAGCAAACAGAAACTTGCCCTTCTAACAAACCATGGCTTCCTCCCCATTTTTTTCCAAACAGACCATTTCTGAATACTCCATTGTATGAAGGAATGGGAGTAACGTTCTGCTGACTAGTATTTTCCTTCCACGTCCTGCCGACCTAATCTTCTTACTGAACCTGCGTAACAAATGGTGTCCTCTCCCCTGATAAGTGTTGGTAATTCATATAAACATGCACTAAACGTACAAGCCAGAGAGGCCCTTTGGGGGAGCGCGGTCACTCTGGACTTCTGGCTTGCACGAGCTCCCCTCTGGTTTTCTTTGAGCCTACAAGCCCTGTAAGTGCTCTCCACTGGAAGTCACTGGAAAGACTGCCTTTTGTCGGTGCCAGGTTAATTTCAAGTCAGATCCCAACCATATTTTTACAGAGGAGCCTGTAAAATTTTAAGAGGGAATAATTTTCTGTTTCATGTTTCCATGGTCAGTTGCTACTGACTTTGCCACTTAAAATGGGCATAAATATTTTTTAGAGCTGAAACCAAAATCCTTATAAGCACAGCAGACTCTGCCGTCTGGGGTGTTTAAACATTTTTATAACCATTCTGATCATATTAAGTGGCTCTCTTCAGTCTGTATCCTTTATTCTCTTTCCCTACAAGCGCTTGATCAAGATTCCTCCCTTAAAAGCATACAGAAAAGCCTATTTTTTTAATGATGAAAATGAATGTGGCAAATATAAACAAATAATGCGGTCTGCAGTGGTGATAAGGTCAAGACCAAAGTTCATCAGCAGGAAATATGTTTAAACAATGTGGCAGCAGTTAACATCATCCTCAGACACATCCTTTGTCTGTTCCACCTAGGAAAGAGGCATCAAGCAGGACGGAAGGCGATGACCCCTTTAATTCTATAAAATTCCTGAGATAAGCACGATCAGTGTCTTGGCCAGACCTAAAGCTCCTAGACTAACATTCTCCTATTGTGTCTCTGAAATTAAGTTCATGGGTACCTCCTTCAAGGACTCACAAATCTAAGAGGAAGGAAATTAGGTAGCGAAGAAGCAGGAATCCCAATCAAACTGAAAAGATGAGCTCCACTACTGTTTCTCTATTTTTTTAAGATAGAGCAAATCATTACTTTAGTAACTGAAAACCATGCCCCTGTTTCTAACTGAACTACAACAGTCTAAGTTTGAGGATAATGCCATAAATAAAGCAGTAGGTGGGCGCCTAGGTGGTTCAGTCAGTGAAGCGTCTGACTCTGGATTTTGGCTCAGGTCGTGATCTCCAGTTCATGGGATAGAGCCCTGCGTCGGGCTCTGTGCTCACAGTGAGGAGCCTGCTTGGGATTCTCCCTCCCTCTCTCTCTGCCCCTTCCCTGCTGACTCTTTCTCCCTCTTCGAAAATAAATAAATAAATTTTAAAAAATTTTTAAATATTATTTAAATATTAAAAATATTTAAAATAATAATTCATTAATTAATTTAAAAAGAAGTAGGATTTTTTTTTTTCTTATTACAAATGTCAACTGTTCATCAGGGTCTCCTGAAAAACAGTTCTGTCCATAATCACCTATCCGGGAGAAAGCATAAAACACTTTGGCAATTAAAAACAAACACGAGCTATTTGGTGATACAAAAGAATCAAATACTCATTTTTAAAGGATGAATTCCTTGTATTTTGTGCCAGAGCATGGTAAATTCGGCCCTCCACATTCCTAGGTTGACAACGTTCTCTTTGCCAACCTGTGTTATTCTTGAGATTTGATTTCCTGAAACATACTTGTGAAGCTTCCTACAACAGGAAACTGTAAAATCTAAACAAAGTAATTTATTAGGAATTCCATCCATTCTAAGAATGACTTGGTTCCTTGATGTGCTGTACTCTTCTTAGACTCAGGGCCTAAAAGGGGCAGCTACAGCTCTGAGCAAGAACCTACGTAGTCTTTCAGAAGGATGACTTTACAGGAGGCCCTGCAAAAGTTATCTATCAGGAATGACTCTTTCTCCAAAGCATAGTGTCACTGTTTCCTGGACGTTTCTTAGAAAACCCCTTATCTCTTTCCTGAGTAGCACAAAGCAGTATTTGAATAGAGGACCTTCACTGTGCTGCGGTGTGCAGCCCTTCTCAGAAACACCACGGAGGGGCCCAAACTCTGCAAATCATGTTTAGTAATCAACAGTTTTTTTGTGTTAAAGTCAAGGGACAATATTTTAATAATTAGGGTTGAATAATTTAGTAATGGTATTGTAGGTAACAATAATTTCCAGTATCTATTATGAAGCCAACTACATGCTTCATTAAGTTAGGGGTGTCCATGCAATGCTTGCCAGATGGAGAGACAAGCAAAACCCATCAAAGGGTCGAATGAATTCCCAGAAGCAACAGAGAGAGCAAGGATGCTTCTAGATGTCCATCTCCAGAATCAGCAAGGGGTGAGCAAGAGTGAGGCATAACCAGATTACAATCTTAATTCAGTGAATCTTCAGACAGATTACTCAATGTGGTTAGCTTTTTGTGTGAGTTATTGTTAATTTTCCAAGTATTATTCTTTTTTTAACTTTTTTAAGTTAATTTATTTTGAGAGAGACACAGCATGAGCAGGGAAGGGGCAGAGAGAGAGAGAGAGAGAAAGAATTCTAAGCAGGCTCTGTGCAGCCAGCACAGAGCCAGACGTGGGGCTCGAACTCACAAAACTGTGAGATCATGACCTGAGCCGAAACCAGGAGTCAGATGCTTAACCAACTGAGCCACCCAGGCGCCCCTCAAATATCCTTCTCTACTAGGTAGAGAGGAGGGGCATGCTCAGTAATACCTGCTCAGGTCTTGTTTAGAATGTCACAAAGTATAAGGGTTCCTGGGGGGCTCAGTTGCTTGAGCATCTGACTTCAGCTCAGGTCATGATCTCAGAGTTCATGAGTTGGAGCCCTGCATCGGGCTCTGGGCTGACAGCTCAGAGCCTAGAGCCTGCTTCAGATTCTGTGTCTCCTTCTCTCTCCGCCCCTCCCCTGCTTGCTCTCTGTCTCTGTCTCTCTCTCAAAAATAAATAAACACTAAAAAAAATTTTTTTTAACTTATAGAATGTCACTAAGGATGCTTCCCCTATCAACTCTCTCAGCCTCCTCTTGATCAAGGATAAAATGGTACTTTTATTACCCATGAAGGAATGAGCTGCTTCTTCCTATGGTTTAGACAACATTTTGTTACATTCAATGGAAAGGTGTTTTGGGGCACCTAGGTGGTTCACTTGGTTAAGCATCCAACTCTTGATCTCATCTCAGGTCATTATCTCATGGTTGGTGGGATCGAGCCTCAAGTTAGACCATGTGTTGACAGCGTAGAGCCTGCTTGGGATTTTCTCTCTCCCTCTCTCTCTGCCCATCACCCTCTCCCATGCATACACACACTTGTTCTCTCTCTCTCTCACTCTCTCTCTCTCAAAATGGATAAATAAACTTTAAAAAAAAAAAAAAGAAAGATGTTTTATAAGAGACTGCAGGGAACAGAATGTAGATGATCACCTTGAGAATTTCACATAAAGACATAAGGAGTCCTAAATGTATTCATGACATATGCATTCCTCTGCAGAGGAATAGGTCAGGTCTTTTTAAAGTTTGAACTAAATAATGGGGCTCTGTATTCATTCCTTATAAGGGATTGGATTCAGTAAAGTGTTGACAAAATTCAGTCAAGTGGTCAATGGTAGGGGAGAGAAGTGGACAGGGGCTGGGGAAAAGGCCAAGGAGATGTGAACTATACATTGTGTTCTTGTGTTTGCTTTGAGGACCACTCAGACAGCCCCCTTGGCGCAGCCGTGACCCTGGCACATGAGCTGGGCCACAATTTCGGGATGAACCATGACACACTGGAGAGAGGCTGTGGCTGCAGCGTGGCTGCCAACAAAGGAGGCTGTATCATGAACCCTTCAACCGGGCAAGTACCGACATTTCCGCTACTTGTAGAGCCGGGCCTGACGTTGAATTGCATTTTGGGAAACTGCTGAGCAAAAATCTCCCTGGTTTTCTGGCAAGAGCACCCATGGAAACATCCAGAAAGAAATCCCTTCCTCAGTAGCAAGAGTGGACTACACTCCTCTGAGAAGGTCATAGGCAACCAGATTGTGATGCTACATGGCATAAGGACTGACCTCTTCCCTGAGAAGTGGCAGAGGGAGGGGTGAACACTGTCTTTGTTTAGAAATTGGGATATTACTCAACAACATGAGCACATGCTTTCTATTTGAGCCTATAGCTCCAGTACTCCAGCCATTCTAGGGCCTGGAAAACTCACTGGGCAAAGGGGTCAAGGTTAGATGGGTCACATGTCCTTCAGAGGGTGCTAGTTGGGGAGTGTTTCTTCCCTCGGGGTTGGCCCAATGGTGTATCTGAAATGCATCAATAGCTCAGGTTTACAGCATCCCTATCTCTGATATATCACCTTATCAGATCTGCGAGGTTTCAGTGACATGACTTCTCCATTTCAATAAATTGCATCGTTCTTCCTCTTGGAATTCCTTTCTGAAACTCCAGACTCAGTTCACCTGGAGGAAAATGGAAGATAGTTTCAACTAAGGGACCATTCAAATGAGGTGGAATCAGGTGGAGTGATTGAGTACAGGTTCTGATTAGATCCCGATACCTCCCAGGGCCCGTCCCAAACCAAAGTGCTGTGCCAATGTGGGGAGAGCCTCATTAGGGAAGGAGAACATGCACTTGCTACCATCTTCTTTTTATATATCTGGATGAGACCTTCCCAACGTCTATCTTTGCTGCACTTTCCCAGCGAGGCCCTCTCTCTGGGCTTGCTGAATGCAGCACTGCCGTGGGAAGGTGGTCCAGACCTACAGCCCGAAGACTGGCCTCTCTGAAGACCTTCTGGTAAGGGGCCAGGCCTGGCATGACGGGGGGACACCTCCCAGAGGCATAAAGGCCCCGGGAGGGGGATGGATTGTTACAAAATGCAGTTATGTATGCTTTGGTAAGCAGTAGCTTTGGGGGGCTCCTCAGATGGCTCCTAGGGCATCACGTCACCCCCCAAAACAAAGACTGGGCAGCACTGCATGTCGTCCCTGCCTGAGAGCTGTTCATGAGGCATCTCCTTGTTACCTTATTAGCAAGTTACTCCTTCTCTTCACCACCATTAGCACAGAGCCTTTGGGAATGCATCTTTTTTGCCTCTGGTTCTGTCTTTGGCACGATTCAGGGGAGTCACCAAGACCTTGTAGAGGAACTTGCTCTGAGTCTGTGATAACAGAAGCCAAGAACCTGAGCCCAAAGTAATAGTATCTTAGGCCAACACCAACCGGAAGTGAAATATCGCAAAACCCTAGCTAACAAGGGAGTTCCCAAGAGGGACACAGGCTTCTCTGAGAAAGTGTGTAGGCTCCTTGTCATGTAACGGTCCAGGCAGAGGCAAGATAACTATTTGTTGGGCATTTGGGGCAAAGAATTCCTTCTTAGGGCGTGAGGTTGGGCCAGGGGCCTTCAGGTATCTTCTGTTTCCAGACAGAGCCCAGCATCACTGGCCCGTGTTGGGTGAATCTCAGGCAAGGACATTGGTAGGAAATCAACATACAACTGAGTGGTCTTCATGCTTTTTCATTCTTGATGAACTCAAAGTGGCTACAGAAAATCCACTGTTTGCTCAATTTCCATGATTATCAAATAGGCACTGACACATTAGCCTATATTTCCCCCAGAAGTGGTTCCCAATGATGGATATTGTGTATGTTTTACAACTCTTGGTAACATGGGCAAATGGAAGAGAGGAAAATCTAGACTGGGAACACTAGTCTAAGATTAAAGAGAGGTGATAGCCCATGTTCTGATACCAATTGTTTTGGGTAATACGAGCAGCTGTGTAACCCCTCGGTCTTTCCATTCTTCATCAGAAAAATTAGTGAGCTAGTCTTTTTCCTTTCTTTCTTCCTTCCATCTGTCCATCTATCCATCCATCCATATTCACTTGATCCACTCATCCATCTATCCATCTATTTATTCACTATTTATTCCATTCACCCATCCATCTCTCCATCTTTCCATCATTTCTTCCATACCTCCACCCATCCATCCACTTACTTGTTCGGATAGTAAAGAAATATTTTTGACCCCTAGACCTATGGTCATTGGGAGCACACAGGGGAGGGAGACCCTTCCACTCTAAAAATTATGATTCCGGAGGCACATTAGCAAGATCTACTTTCCGATACTCCCTATATAATTTTGTGTAAAGCCCTTCAAATGAGAAAGTCTTCATGGAAGTGTTTAAGGATATGAGCCAAATGACCCTGGAGATTCTTGAAATCATAGGTAGAAATGGTATTGTTAAGAGCTCAGCAAATCATTTCAAAGCCCGCCCCCCTTACCAGAGGTTTGCTAATAGCCTTTACTTAATTTATATCTTATTAGCTACTTCTAAGTTTTCTCTTTTGCTGAGCTGGTGCTTTTGCATAAATCTCTTCTATTTGGTTCTCATTTATGATCCCACATTCCTGTCCAGAGAGTGGTGTTTTTAATTTTCTCAGATGGAAAGAAACTTCCTAAAGCAAGGGGGTAAATTAATCACAAAAGTCCACAGTGAGGGGGAGGTCAAGCCGCCCAGGCAACCCTTGGCCATCCATCACCCATCGGAGAACTTCCAGGCTGCTTTTAATCTGCAGTATTATCTCAACGTGGTCATTCCCTTACCTCACAGGGGCCTCTTGAGAGCAGCAGAGTGGATTAAACAAGATCACATGTCTTTGTAAATTGTAAATCACTCCACAAATACACGACAGCAATATTACTATTGTTTAGCACACAGGGGCGTTGGAACCATCGAGATGTTGAGGGCGTCTTCTAGAATCCCTGCGCATAGTTGCTGGAAAGCACTTGCAGTGCCTCGGATCGGTCCCTCAGCAACGCTCCCACGATTTCTCTGTGAATGGCTCATTGTAAACCGGCCCACGTCCAAGCAGCCCTCTTCCAACTTCCTCCACGCTACTGACTCCGGCACAGGCAGCACACATTAAAAAATGTCATTCGAGTCTTAGCCTCAAAGGTGAGCTCGAAAAGAGATGGATCGGTGACTACTTTAATGATATTCAGGTCTTTCTGAATCACAGAGAGCCAAGTATCGCACATGCTTTCAAGGGGAAATGCGCAGCCCTTAATATACCGTGTTTGTTCTTTATCAAGGCATTCCAGAATCCCAACTCTGAAACATTCACCAACTGCCGTCATTGGCAGATGGGACCCAAAGCCCCAGGGGGAGTCTCCGCTCCTGAGCGGTCCTGCTACAACAGGGTGTTGTGACTTTAGTTGCATCTTACAGACTTGGTTGGAGGGAGTTTCCTTACAGTTGTACCATTAATTACCGCGAGGCCGGGCGAGTGCGTGAGCATGTGTTTTATGTCTTTTGATAGTTAACATGAAGACTTGCCTTGGAAATGACTCTTTGGCAAAAGCAGTCTCTAGGGATTCATGTGGGAGTTTCAACTCAATTGAGTCCATCCATTAACGAGCTTCTTGGAGCATTCGGTCTGGAAGGGTTTGAGGACGAAGCATGCCACATTTATGGAAGTAAGAAAAATGGGAAGAGTTTGCACACTTTTGGAAGAGATTATTTAACATCGTTGTAAATGTCACTTCCCAGTGTAGACCAAAAGAAAACAGTATTGGCATTCAAAAGTTACTCTCCAAGCTTCATTTATTTTTTGCAGGAAGTGTTCTGTTAAAAAGAGTGGGGGTAGGAGAGCCTCTCATGGCGGGAATATAGCTGAGTCCGAGGCACATACCGAGATGTCACACACTCTGATACATGGATGTCAGGGTGATGACTGTGAAGGGGACAGACACTTTTCTTGTCTCGTGGAGCTTCCCCTCTCTCGGGGAAGACAGACTTGAGAAACAATGAATTACAAATCATGGGTTCAAAGAAGTGCTTTGAAGGACACAAAGGAAGAAGGTGTTAAGGAAACACGTGAGCTAGGAGCCCCACTTTTATTGGGGGCCTGGGGCAACGCTCTCTTGGAGGTGACAGTTAAGAGAAGAGCAAAAGGAAGAGAATGGAGAGCCTGCAGGGATGGGGGACGTCGTGTGCAGCTGGGTGGAGGGGACGCGGCTTCGCTGACCCAAGACCAGGGGCTCATGGGGCTGGATCCAGATGGAGGTGGGGCCTGGGCACAGGGGAGCTGGTGCTGCTGGAGAAGAAGGGGGTTGAGGGGAGGCCGAGCGAGCAAAGCCCAGTCCACCAGATAGGAATGGAGTTTTGTCTCCAGGGCAGTGAGAAGTCATTGGAGGGTTTTAGGCAAAGCAAAAATATGATCTGACTTATCTTTTAAGATTTTTTCACTTTAAGGTTATTGATTTATTTTGAGAGAGAGAGAGAAAGCAGGGAAAGGGCAGAGAGCATAGGAAAGAGAGAGTCCCAAGCAGGATCTGCATTGTCAGCACAGAGCCTGATATGTGGCTCGATCACACAAACCAGGAGATCATGAACCAAACCGAAATCAAGAATCAGACGCTCAACTGACTGAGACACCCAGGCACCCCACTTTTAAGATCACTAGCATTCAAGCTATTAGAGCTTGTCAAATTAAGGGGTTTGTGTCTATTTTTAAAAAGGCAGGGTGTGCTTCTTGTAAAGCATAAGTAAAAGCGATAGGATATAAATTTTAGTTTACTTTCTTGTAAACAATAGACATTGGGAATGCATTGAGAAGGAGCCTGCGTCAGCACCCCAGCAGCACATCACACACACCCACACATACACTCTCCCCTGTCCAAGTTTGCATACTTAATGAACAAAATGCTCCTCTCTTCAGGATTTCACTTTGTAAGCATCCTTTAAGGACTCAAATTCAAAGAGCCGTGGAAGAGCCCTTTTGCACTGCCTGTGTGTGTATCTAAAAGAAATTACTGCAGAGTTTTTGTGCTGATGCTAAGATCAGGTTT